TCCGCCACAGCCGCGTGCGGCGTATCGACTACACAGAACCGTTTCTACTGCCCGTTCCCCAGAAAACCCGGATGTATGAACGTGTGCGTTCGACATCCTTTATTAATTCATGACATTATCTATTATTAACTTCTATTTTCATTTTAATACTGCTTGATTGATGGATTGACTACTTGGATTACTGTATCGATATTATAGCCAACTTTATACCCTATTAAATGGTGCAATTAACATTAGTATAGCCAACTTTGTACCCTATTGAATGGTGCAGTTAACATTAGACATTTAAAGCATTCCATGCAATAGCAATATTTTGTAATAACATTATTTAATAATGTTATAATGAAATAGCACTTTAATAAATGGGATAATGTTGCCTCAATACGGAATGTTAGCAAAGTGCTCTCATTTGTAGGCCGAAGTTTTTTCTACGACCTCACGTGAAATGGGAAGGCAATTGGTAAAGAAGTAGTGTCTAGCAGGAACTGAATGGCTTTCCTTTTAGCTCTACGGCGGTGGCTACTCTATCACATTAACGAGACCATTGCAATTAAGTTCTCACGGTAAGCAATTACTCAGGGAACTCAGCTTCTTTGAAGGCTTTTCGTGAGAATCTATTGGCTGCTCTCGGATTCGATCATTTACCGGTTAGCCGATAAACAAAGAAGAGCCAGCCAAAGGAACCGGGCAATCCGCCATTTAATTGCTGTTCATTGGGCTCCTGACCTAAGGATGAGCTATCAAAAGAGTTCATTAGACTAAATTGATTCGCGACAGAAGAAAATAGAGGCGTTACCAGCTCCTACTAGAGCAAATCAATGACCAGCGGGACAACCGCTGATACAGGTGATAGGTCGAAACGCCCCAAAAACTTCAGGGTCTGCAGAAAAAGCAGAACAAGACAAAAATGAAGAAAGAAGATTTATGACGATCATGCTGTGTGAAACAGAAACTGATACCATTGTTTACTGATGTCACTATGGTGTATGTAATTTGTGCTTGGACGGTTCCAGTAAGCTAGGAGCGTGTTCAGAGTACAGCTTCAAGCGCTTTGAACATGAGAGCGTCAAGCGTGAGAGCCCGACCGTGCGTCACCTTAGTGCTCAGAGCGCGTAATCCGCCTTGCCGCTGGTGGCGTTTGCGTTGGAGTACGTTATTCTTCTAGCGGATCTACTGAGAACATTTTATAACAGTATAGTTTCGTCACATTATAACTTCGGTTAGTAGTCAAAGTAAAAAAAAAAGCAACAAGTCTCCATACTAGAAAGGACTGAATAAAAATGGAATGCCCATTGTTGACAAATCCATGCGGACACGGACCAACGATGGGCGCCGTAAACAAGGCCGAGCGTCAATTTTGCAGTTGTCTCAGATTATCCTTACAAAGACGGCGTTGTTCACAGTGGTTATTTGGGAGGATTCATTTTCTTTTGTACTGTCGGGTTTCTAATAACCAACGAAACGGAACTCGGAACCACCTGCACCTATTGTTTTTTTGCAAAAGGACTGCTGAAAGGTAGTGGACGCGTTTGATTAGCAGGACGTGAAATTATGAAAACATCAAAACAAAAAGTTAAAGCATTCCAGTCCACAAACGGTGTCTTTGACAAAAAAGGTAAAGAGGGACCATTCAGAAAAGGAATAGAGCAGAAAAGGTTACAAAAGATACTTGAACTTCACTTAACCANGGGGGGGGGGGGGGGGGGGGTGCCACGAGCGGCGCGGCAAACTTTCTCGTCTGCGCCCTCTCCAGCGAGGAAGTAGTGGGCTTGAGTCCGGGAGGGAATGGCGAGGTTGCACTGGTGTATTTCGTGATCTAGAACAAACTAACTATTGGCATATGTTGATATACTTCCATATTATGGATACTTTTCTTCTGAGCCGATAAAACCTATTCTTAAGAAGGGGAGGGGCTCCGGGGGTGGGTGAGATGGTTATCTCGGGCAGAAGC